AAAACTTTCTTCAGATCGGAGTATGACACCGTTTCCAGCGAGGCCGGGGCGATTAGGCTCTCGGCGATCTCAAAGGCGTCTTGCCCACAAACGCACAACAACGTGGCAGCCTTTAAGCCTTCCTCCCTTATCTGGTTTATGCGGAAGTAAGTCTCGACTCTTGCAACATAAGATTCCCACCTCTCGGGGTGAGAGACGTAGAATTCCGCTAAACGCCCAACTTTCGCCATGATCGAGGATCAGGGTCTTCTTCAGCCGCACGCACCCTCCAGCGATTTCGTACTGGCAAGATAACGCTGACTTCCACGCTGTTTCCCTCTTCTGGACTTCTTTGGGTGAATCTTCAAGCTTTCCTAGCTGTATAGACTGAATCCCACCTTCGTCGCCAGTGTTAAGTCCGGAGAATAATGGCGCTTGAGACAAAGCATTTCTAACAAGTCTTTATTCTCTGCTTCCAATCTACAAACAACCCTAGCAGAGGCACGCAGGCCTCTATTTATACCTTCTGATCCCCGGGCAAATCCAACCAATCACAAGGCGGTCTTTTCCCGCCTTGCTCATGCGCGCAAGGCCGGCGCCACTCAGTCTGGTCCCGGGCAGCTTTTGCAATTGCCCGGGACTCTTGCAACGTCCCGAGCCTGCTTTTGCAGGCTCAGGACATAACAATGGGCATATTGGAATATTATGAAACGCATCCAAGGAAACAACTGGCATTAGTATTTTTAGATGTCCAAAAGGCATTTGATAATGTTTTTTGTCAATTTATGATTCAACAACTAAAAACAATGGATTTTGGACAAAATTTTATAAATATGACTAAGACAATATATCATAAACAAACAGCAAAAGTGATTGTAAATTGAGACTGCACAGAGAATTTCAATATAATAAAAGGCACAAGGCAAGGATGTCCACTATTCCTATTGTTATTTATTTTAACTTTGGAAGTTTTAAATAGAAACATTAGACAGGATTCAGAAATTAAAGGACTGGAAATAAAAGGTGAAACTTATAAATTGCAAGCTTTTGCAGATGACTTGTATTTATTCTAGAGGAAACTTTAGAGATGATTACTAAATTATTGGAAAAGATAGAATAGTTTGGAGAGATAGCAGGACTGAGGATAAATAGAGAAAAAACTAAAGTTATAGTTAAAAATCTCAAAGTTAAACAAAAAAAAACAATTGCCAGAAAAAATAGAGCTACAAATAGTTAAAAAGGTTAAATACTTGGGAATATACCTGACAGCAAGATGTTTAATGATAAAAGAAGATAACTACATAAAGCTACTAAATCAGATAAAACTTGACTTGGAAAAATGGAAAAATCTGAAATTGTCGATGTTAGGAAGAATCGCTACATTGAAAATGAATATTTACCAAAAATATTGTTTTTATTCCAAACGATACCTATAAAACTAGAGAATTTTTTTTTAAAGATTTAAATTCCCTAATTCAAAAATTCATTTGGCAAGGAAAGAAAGCTAGAATTAGAATTAAATTGAAAATGTTACAAGAAGCTAAGGGAAACGGAGGTTTTGGCTTGTCAGAGTGGGTTTTATATTATCAAGCATCAATGCTAACATGGGTAAAAGAATGGATAATCCTCATAAATAAAAGATTGTTGTATTTGGAGGGACATGACTTACAACTTGGTTGGCATGCTTTCTTATGGTATAGGAAAAATAAAATTCATAAATATTTTCAAAACCACTATATTAGAAATGCATTATTATTAACATGGGAAAAAATAAAATGTAAAATATATTTGAAAATTCCAGGATGGCTTTCAACAATGGAAGCATTCGCACATCCAAATCTAGTCAGTCTTGAGAAAATATGGACATATAAAGATATTTTAAACTCTGAAGGAAACTTAAAATCTAGACAAGAGATGGAAAATCAGGATATTGATCTATCATGGTGGTCACATTTACAAATGCAAGTGAGATATGATAAAGAGGGTAAAGTGTATGGATTTTATAAAGAGCAGATTCTGTTTGATCAGATATTACTAACCTCTGATGAAAAACTAATTAAGAAAACATAATTTTTATTAAATTTGAAAATGGAAGATGAACAAGTAAAAGAAACAAAGATAACATGGGCAAAGAACCTTGGATACAATATAGATCTAGAGAAATAGCAAAGCCTGTGGGAAAGAAATTATAAATTGACAATGTCAACCTCTTACAAAGAAAATCTATACAAAATGTTTTATAGATGGCACTTGCCACCAGCAAGATTAGCAAAAATATTTAAAAATATGTCAGATAAATGTTGGAAATGTAATTTATAAACCAGGTACATTATCATGTATGGTGGACATGTGTAAAAGGAAAGAGATATTGGACAAAAATGCATACTCGGCTAGAAAAGATGTTGGGGAAAACATGTAGATTTTAAACCTGAACTTTTTTTATTGGGTATATTGTCAGAAAAGCTTGATTTAGCATGTGATAACAGCAGCAAGAATTATATTCGCACAATATTGGAAAAAAGAAGAAATACTATCAGAGGAAGAAATAATAATAAAAAAATACTAGACTGTGCGGAAATGGACAGGCTTACTCTGAGGTTGAAAGAAAAAGAAGAAATAGAATATTTTCAAACTTGGGACTTACAGTATTTTATCAATGGCTGGAGAAACGTACTAGGGATTAGGAATTTAATTTGTATTAGTAAATGATAAACTCAGACATGTTTGTTGAATAAGCATGGCTGAATTGTATTAAACAATCAATAAAAGCTTATAAAAAAAGAAAGTTCTTGGTAAGCAAATAGTGGGCCTATAGTTGCCTAATGATGCCCCCTTTGCTGGATCCTTCATTATCAAGTATTTGATTGCTTGGGCTTTTGCGTGAGATAAAAAAATGTTTTTGATGTTTGATAGCTATGGCTTGACTTATTCAATATGGTTGACAGAGGAATCAGTGCAATGACAAACATTAGTGGTAAAAGTGAGTCTTCGTGGAAGATTCATCTCTTGATATTAATCTCTCGCAAACCATTGATCACAACCATGTCTTCCATGGTGCAATTGATTTTTATACAAAGTTTCTGATGTTTCTACTGACTCCTATTATTTCTAAGCACTTGACTGGCTAATCAAGGGGCAGGGATTTAATGCCTTCCTACACGCTACATTAAAGTTGTTTATCTTCTCTTGCAGTTTTCCAAAATCATCTTGGCAATTAAGGAGTATTATTATTACATATTATGTGTATATGTATTATTATACATAAATTGAGTAATGAATATAATTGGGATGCAGATTTTTAGAAGGCAGTTCCACAAATTGCAGTGAACATGGATGAGAACAAAATTATACCTTTATTTTTACTATTTTATTTTATACATTTAAATACATTTTCTGGAAAGGAGTTCATAGGTTTCTCCAGAAAGCTCAAAGAAATCATGGCACAAAATGGTTAAAAACTCAGATTATGAGAGATTTTCAATACTACAAATACTATTCAAATGATGACTTTTAAGCAAAATTTACCTGGAATATTTTATATGGGGCAGTTGACTGATAATTCTGAAGGTAGAAACACAATATAGTGGTATATTGGTATGAATAAAGCTCTGTGGGAATCACTGTTGTTTCTGCTTTAAGCTGAACTAGAGGCCTAGGTATGTGTGAGAATAAAGATAGGCATGCACACAGACAGTTATAAAGTATGACAAAATAATCCAAACTTTGATTTCTCCATGTATGAGATTGGGCAAAATTCTTTTGTCAAGATATCTGATAGCAATAGCATTTAGACTTATATACCATCCCATAATTATTTATAGCATCCTCTGGGCAGTTTATAATGTAAGCATTATTTGCATATTGCCCCGAACAATCTGGGTCCTCATTTTACTGGCCTCAAAAGGATGGAAGGCTGAGTAAACCATGGAGTTCTGTCAGGATAGAACTCCAGACTATGGGTAGAGTTTGCCTGCAATACTACAGTTTAACCACTGCACTACCAACTATTATTCGATAGTGGTGTTTCTGACAAACCCAGAAGTAATTTATCTTTCTCACTGATTTGTAATTTGTAATTCCTTAAAAGGCACAGAATATGACTTATGGCCCCACACGGATGACTGTCTAATATACTCAGCCATGTTGAATATAATTTCATTAAATATTTTGGCTTACATTTTCCAGGCAATGCTGGTTCATGGAACCCTAGCAATGATGATTTGACTAATGCTACAGACAATGCAGCAGATGAGATAATGGATCGTATTGTCAAGTCTGCCACACAAGTGCCAAGTCAACGTACAGTGCCCAAAGAAAGAAAGCGATCAAGAGCAAACAGGAAGTCAAGTAAGCTCAACTAGTATTCATTATCTGTAAACAAAACAAAATATTACCCTTTTGGATTCTTCTCCCATCTATACCATGTACATGTAGGCAATTTTGTTGAGGAAAAGAAGCCTTGCTTCCTATGTCAGAACACTCATTCCTACTGTTTCTCCCTTAGTCAGTGCCTAAGAAGATAAACTTTTGTTTGTTAGATTTATTTGTTGTTGTTAGTTGCAAAGTTGTGTCCGACCCACCACGACCCCATGTACAACGTTCCTCCAGGCCTTCCTGTACTCTACCATCTTCTGGAGTCCATTTAAGCTCACGCCTACTGCTTCAGTGACTCCATCCAGCCACCTCATTCTCTGTTGTCCCCTTCTTCTATTGCCCTCAATCTTTCCCAGCATTAGGCTCTTCTCCAGTGAGTCCTTCCTTCTCGTTAGGTTGCCAAAGTACTTGAGTTTCAACTTCAGGATCTGGCCTTCTAAAGAGCAGTCAGGGTTGATCTCCTCTAGGACTGACCGGTTTGATCGCCTTGCAGTCCAGGGGACTCGCAAGAATCAGTTCAAAGGCCTCAATTCTTTTGCGCTCAGCCTTTCTTGTGGTCCAACTTTCACAGCCATACATTGCAACTGGGGAAAACCATGGCCTTGACTATACATACTTTTGTTGGCAGGGTGATGTCTCTGCTTTTTAGTATGTTGTCTAGATTTGCCATAGCTTTCCTCCCCAGGAGCAAGCGTCTTTTAATTTCTTGGCTGCAGTCCCCATCTGTGGTGACCTTGGAGCCCAGGAAGATAAAATCTGTCACTACCTCCATTTCTTCCCCATTTATTTGCCAAGAATTGAGAGGGCCAGATGCCATGATCTTGGTTTTCTTAATGTTGAGTTTCAAGCCAACTTTTGGCACTCTCCTTCATCCGCATCAAGAGGCTTTTTATTTCCTCTTCCCTTTCTGCCATTAGAGTGATATCATCTGCATATTTTAGGTTGTTGATATTTCTCCCGGCAATCTTAATTCCAACTTTTGATTCATCTAGCCCTGCCTTTCTCATGATGTGCTCTGCATATAAGTTAAATAGGCAGGGTGACAGAATACAGCCTTGCCAGACTCCTTTCCCAATTTTGAACCAATCAGTGGTTCCGTGTCCAGTTCTCACTGTTGCTTCTTGACCCACATATAGGTTTCTCAAGAGACAAATAAGATGGTCTGGTACTCCCATCACTTTAAGAACTTGCCACAATTTGTTGTGATCCACACAATCAAAGGCTATCATTCTGAAAGTGATATCAAGTGGATTTCTTCTTGGTTTTTTTAATCCAAAGACTCATGAATGAGGGAAATAAATGTATATTTATTGTCTGTGCTCACTTTTTGAAACCAACATTTCCCTCACTCACTGAGCCAGCAGTTTACCTGATTAGTCTACATTCCCTTCAACTTTTATAACTTTCAACTTTGGCACTTTTATCGCACCCCATAGTACTTCTCCACCAAATGCCATTGCTTTAACTAGTTCACACAGAATCCATTTTTCATGGGAGCATAATATCTTTTTTTATTCTTTTTCAAAATGGTATCCTCCACATACTACACGGTCTGAAATATTCCAGAACAAGGCTTCCTACTTTTAGGTTTCCTTTATGCAAGTTATTTATATGTTCACACAATACAAAGCACAAGGGAAGTGTATGTACAAAGTGTATGTGTATCTGTCCATCTCACATGCACACACACATCATCATCACATAAGACTCCTGAGCAATCTCTATCTTTAGTCTTGAGAAGACTGCACTTCCCTATTCAAGACTAATATGCAAACTGGAGGGTCAGTTTGAACTCATAGTTCCTGCTTGAAGAGTGAGTAGCAGCTGTGGTCAAGAGGCCTTTTACAAGCCCTTTAAAACAATTACTTATCCCTTGCCATCTTAGCAGTGAACTGTTGCAATGCACTGTGCACGACACTATCCTTAAAGACCATCAAAAGCTACAGCTAGTCCAAAAATGGTGCAGGAAGGTAATGGGCATGCCACAATATGGTCATCTGATGACACTGCAGTGTGAGCTACACTGATTACTAATGAGTTTTTAGATGCAATTCAGGGTGTACCTATAAAGCCCTACATGGCATAGGACCTGGCTATCTAAGGGTCAGTCTTTCTCTGATAAACAATTGCATCCATTTATCTTATTTTAATTACTAGGCCCAGTCACCTTATTGGTGAGATGTGCAGCATATAAATGTAATAAATATTTTTTTAAAAAATGCTTAGCATTGGACTGAAAACTAAGTTCTACTAGAAACTAAGAAATAATCTGTTCATAAAGTATAAAACTATATTTAGTATTCTGTCTGCTGTGCAATGGCTTGATTTCACACTCAGATATTTATATGTACAACAAGTCAATTATTCTATTCTGGAAAGTAATGTTTTGTCTTTATATTTGTACTTGCTTTTCAGTTTGTGGTAATATTGTCAAAGTTATAAATATATATACATACCTGCAAATAAAAGAAAGCAAAAATACTTCTGAGTGTTCCCTTATAGGATTGTGCAGCTTGTCTTTTAGAACATTCATACTATCTTTTTCTTTCTGCTTTTGACTGCACAGTAAGAAGGACATTGAAGAGTGGATTGTCTCCAGAAGAAGCCAAAGCTTTGGGTCTGATAAGCACTTCAGAGATGCAAGTGTGATGACAGCAATTACGTCTGCTAAAAGAAAAAAAAATCTTTCTTTTTTTTCATGCATGCATGCCATCAACAGTCTTCAAATTCAACACCCCCTGCCAGTTTCAGCTACTATTTGTTTTATCCCACTGTTGCATGATGCTAAATCAAATAATAAATTGAAATTAGTAAACTAATCTTGTAAAAGTATCTAACTGACTGCTACAAAAATAAATTACAGGAGCAGAAGGTCAATTGAACATTGTGTCACATTCATTTTGTCATGCTGTATTGAAGAGAGTTGCCGTTGGGCTATCTTGTATTGTGCGAAAGGTGTTAATGCTAATTTTCCCTGCAGCACATTGTAGTAATTGTAAAGTACTATGTTTTATCAATTCTTTAAACAATTTTTCTTAAAGTTATTTCTATCTTACAAAGGCAGAACAATATACTTCATTATTTTTTATCTTTTCACCAAGAATGTAAAATGTACCAATTTGTGCATGTACACATGTACATATGGAATCCAGATGCCCATATGTTCCTTTTCATAAAAACTCACTGATTTGGAATTCTGTTAGAATAGCATATAAATATCTCATGTCAGTCAAGCATAAATATGAAAGATAAGTTAAATTATATCAGAATAGTTTTAAACAAAATACTGCTTCCTAATTTCATCCAGTATCTTTTGTATCGTTTCCTGAGATTTCTTCTGGTCTGTAAAAAGAAATTAAATGAATATTTTGATAATAATTTGGACAAAGAATGACTGTTTGGGATGCTAGTAAACCAATCATAAGGGGTTACTTTATACAATATAACCATTTTGAAAGAAAATACTATTTCCTATAAAGAATTAGATAGGAAAATAGTGCTGACATTGGGGCCCATTAAGCTGCTGTTTTCATTCAATTTTAAAACATTTAACTATCAGTTACATTAGATTTTGCTAACATTTGCCTTTCTCTCATAAACCTTAAAGAAACAATAAGGAAAACAATTGCTTTAAATATCAAATTTGCTCCCCATCACCTATTCAATAGCATTCTTCTTACCACAAGTCTTGTGCTATTATTCTGGATGTATTCAACAACAATCTTTATATAAAAATATTGAATATACAATCTTTAAAAAAACACAGATCCTAATCCTTTCTTAGGCATGAAATCTCTGAGACCTAATCAGCATCAAGTGCTGAAACAAGATAGTTAAGAAAGTGAAACATTTGTTAAATCATGCACTGAAAGCTTTGCAATGTAAAGTAGTAAGCACAATGCAAAACAAGTGAACCCCACAATAAGCAGTACAAGCAGAAAGAACAATAATCTGTATTTCTTTATTTCTAATAATGTCTATTACTTGACTGATTTTGTTCTACAATTTACTTGGACCTATAGGGATGTTATATGGATCTATAAAAGCTTCCACTGGGCTGCAGAATTACATTTTTTTCCTCCTGATGCCCTACTTTTTAATGATTCTACAGTGACCTGTAAGTATTCTGTTAATAAACCTCATTGCTGTGTTTTACTAGAAAGAAGGAATTATTAATACAATGAATAATATTGATCTTTTTTCTTGTTTAACTTTTTATGTGTTTCAAAAGGACTGAACTAAATGTTGGTATTGGTTTTCTAAAATGTAGCCATCAGAAACATTTTTGTTGCTCATATCAGGGTTTTGCAGTGATTCAAATAATTCAGGAAAGGTACTTCAGAGCATGAAGCAAATCTAGTATCTGTTTTAAAGAGCTGCAGAGAAGTCCACATATTCCAAGCATGTATTGGATAATTCAAATAGCAATAAATATTTCTAAATTTTCAGAATAAGAGGGGAAACGTATAAAAGATTTTTTAAAATTAATAAAAACACTTATCAGTGGGATCATATGACCTAACAGTGCAACAATAAAGCTTTCATGAATTCTAGTACCCTCCCAATGACAGAAAAAAGTATTTGTGTCTCTTCATCCCTTTATTGGTGAAACTTTTTCTCTGCTTTCATCCTAATGCCAAGTCTTTCTGTCCCATCTTGTTTTCAAACTTTCTCATACTTGAATGCTTGTACTTTGGAAGGAACCAACTTGACTTGGAAAGAGGAGCAGGTCGCTTTCTCTCCAAAACTGGAGCCATATTTCTCACTTTTGCAGAAAAATATCCAATGAATCTTATTTCTTAATGGATGTTGGTTACCAAAAACATTATTGTGTTTGTCTATAACTTCTCCAAATAAGCATATAGAGTACATTTTTGAAAACTGTTAATCACAATATTAAGAATATTTTTAGAAGTAAACAAATTCCCATCGTAAATTGTTGCACTGATCTATCTTACCATTTTATTGTTTATATTACAATACATTTTGTGAATCATTTTTCAATCTTATCAAAATGCATCTTGTAAAAATTCATATCTGTAACAAACACGCTTATTGAAATCATAATTATGATTGTGTTTTGATATACAAATGATATGATTTGTTTTCTAAAGCGATTTAAGTTTTTAAATAAGTTTTATAATTGTATGACACTAATTCAAACAGCTGTTTCAGTTAATACAGCTCCTAAAAAACAGAAAACACTAGATGACATTGAAGAATTACAGAGAACCTTAGTATTTCTTTGTTGCTATCTCAGGCTCATGTGCATTTTCATAACTCAGATATGGTAGCTTTTTTTAGTGAAGTGCTGTACATGAGCTTTGTCTTTGAGAATCTCACCAGCCAACTTATTTGTAGCCTGCTTTTGAAGCTTGCCATGCACAAATTGGGGGGGTTTGAGAAAACCAAAGCTGCCTCTGTACTCTAGGAGCATATAGAATTAGCTTCATTGGATTCTGGTCATAATCTCCCATATAATTTGCCTATTGGATTATTCCTTTGCTTGTTATGACTGACAAAATTTTGAAAGTATTCCTAATGACAAATGGTCACAATTTTTCTGTTACCTCCTCCTCCCCTAAAGGAACCAACTGAAATATCTGTATCAGTAAATGTTTTCCAAGATGCAGTGAGCTGTTGTTAGAGGAATAAAGATCAAATGACCCCATTTAAAAGACTGCAGGTGGGGGGAAAAAGAAAAGAAAAAGGAAGATTTATGGAAATTAAGAATGGAAATTCTGTTTCCAGGTAGCTGAGAACTGACTTTTTAAATTTGTAAAAAATAAAAGTAACATACAGGTAGTCCTTGATTTACAAATGTAATGGAGCCTGCCCATATCATTCATAACTCGAAAATTCATGGGAGGGAATCTCGTACCTCAAACAAGATCACTCCCTGCTTTTGCCAATGCATTTGCTAATCAAATGCATGGGCAAATGTGTGGTTCTTTACGTGCACATCTCAGGGTGGGGAAGGCCATGGAGGGCCTAGTGATGTAACAGGCCCCAAAGGCCTCCCTGACCCACTTTTCCTCTCCCTTTCTGCCACACTGGACTCACTTGCCTTGAAAAGATCTGTCTCCTTTCTGCCGTGGTTCCTGCCTTTGAGAGAGAGAAGAGTCGATGGAAACTCCTGTGTGCCATAATATCTTTTGCAGAGAATGGATGCCTGAACTCTTGCGGTGCTTGTGGTGCCTGTCTCCTGCTCACCCCCCCCCCGACTCCTGAGCCACGCAGCTGCCACCCCAGGCCTCTGTTAGGGTGGCGGAGGCCTGGAAAAAATCTCCAACACTCGGATTGGGCCTCCGGAGGCCCACAGAAGCGTTCCCCGGCTGCTGTTCCACGCAACAGTGGCCTGGAAAAGCCCTCTGATGTCCAGAGTGGGCCTCTGGAGGCCCACAGAAGCATCTCCCGGCCTCCTTTCTGGATGGCAGCAGCCTGGAAGAGGCCTCCAATGCCCAGATCAGGTCTCTGGAGGCCCACGGAAGCATCCCCTAGCCTCCTTTCCAGGCAGCAGTGGCCTGGAAAAGGCCTCTGATGCATGGATCGGGTCTCTAGAAGCCCATGAAAGCATCCCCTGGCCTCTTTCCTGGGTGGCAGCAGCCTGGAAAAGGCCTCTGATGCCTGGATTGGGCCTCCAGAGGTCTGGGGAAGTCTCCCCCTGCCTCTGTTCTGGGCAGCAGCAGCCTGGAGGCCTTTGCCAAAGAAAACTGAGCCCCAGAGTGACTCGTGCTTCCTCTGAGGGCTCCATTCTCTTTGGCAAAGATCTTGAGTGTTAAATCCTTGGATTCAAATGACAGTTCAACAGGCATAGTGTGAACCAAAAGCTTCTTTAATGACTTAATTGTTCATTGCAGTAAACGGAGACTCACAGGCCTCCTGCTTCTCTTCTCTGCTTACAACCGGCTCTGAGAGCAACACAAACGGTCCGGGTAAACTCGTTACTGAGCGCGCGCTTTCCTGCGCAT